CCACAGAGTCACCGCAGTAGACGTTAGATGAGCGCTGTCGCTCTGCGGCACTTGTTTAATAGAACCTGTTTTTTATGTAAATTACAGAAACATCACATGTCCTAAATTGCGTACCAAAATACATTTACAAATGGCAATTGTTCTATTATTTTTTGATATTTTGTCAAGTCAAGATGGTAGTGTCTTGTGTTATCATGTGAAACTATTTCTTGCTGTGTATAATAAAAACACGATCATGCTGCTTTTCACAGTTATTATTTATACCTGATTAACTATCGTAATATGCACATGTGTCTGTCATGTACAATAAATATACATGAATTTGAGTTTTTATACCACTTACTCAGCAGCCATGTAATTACAAATGACTAACTTTCTGTTGTCATTAGTTTTGTCGTAGCTGCAATACGTTTATGTCAACACAATTCTTGTAAAATTAACAATAGTCATACGGATATGATCTCAGTGGCAACATATCAGCCTTAACTTTGCGATTTTCCTGGCAAAGGGCCCCAGGTCATTAACAGAAGGTATTTAAATGGTACTAATCTTAATGGATTTTCAAGTATATTTGTTTATATTATTCTGATGTAGAACTTGCTGCTATAAAATTATGTTTGTTCACTGCCAACTCGAATTTAATTCTTTTGTATGACATGGTGTATCCTACTTCTGCAAAAGGTAGTACAGACCATCTAAAAATATTACAATGTAATATAATATTGTAGTATAGTATATCTGAATTAAACATAGTGTACCCTGATACATGACTACATTCTTGCAGGGCCAGGTTGAAGAAGAGTGCAAGCAAGTCGGATTTGAGAAGCTTTCTATTTTTCGACCAGGGTATATAATTATGTGTAAAATGTTTGCTAATCATACCAGTCATTCATGGCTATAACTGTTATTGCTTCTATGCATTTGTAATGCTCTCGTATTCTGTGATAGTTGGAGCTGCAGCAGGTGCAGGTCAAGTCTTTTTGTTGTCGACAGATGACATCATTGATCTTCTTGTAACACACTTGTATCTTCGCTACATTGCAGGGTACTGCTGGTAGACAGGGAGGAGCGACGAGCAGGAGAGGGTGTGTTTCGTTTCATGTTAAAGCCAGTCGCATGGATGTTTCCAACACTCATCACCACCCCTATAGAGATGGTTGCCGTGGCGATGATAAACAATGTGCAGTCACCAAGCAACCAGAGTGAGGAGTTGCTATGCAACAAGGAAATTCACAATCTTGCCACAGTCAAATAAGATGAAGGGAATGTTCCTTGACCTTACGGTCAATAACAGGAATGAGTAACTCCAGATAGTTATTACTAGTTAAAGGGGGTAAATGTATAGAAGATTGCATGAGCTGGAACCACGAATATAGTAGTAGTAGTATAAACTCGAATATTGGCCTCTAACATTTTAGCATCTAGAACAAAGATAACGAATTCTCATAGAACAAAAATTTGTTCAATAATGGCTCATCCGTCAGGCAGTTGGGTCAAATCGTGGGTATTAAATTGACTACATCACGTATCCAGAGATATCAAGTTTGAGAAATGGTTGAGAGTGAGACTCAGTGTTTGACGGGGTGACACTGACCGAGGGAGCGAAGCGACCAAGGGGGGGAAGGTTGTGGGGGAGGGGGGTTTTCCCCCTCCCACGGTATAAAGCTTTTTTTTTAAATTTGAGGTTTGAAATGGTGCAATTTGGTGCATACCTATGGTATGATTTATTGCCTTTATAAATATAAGTTCTTACTCATTTAGATCTAAACCTAGATAAACGTTAGAACTAGTACTAGAAACTAGTCTAGTAAAAGTGCAAGCTGAGAATTGAAAAGTAAACAAAATACCTCAGTAACCTGCAAAGCCATCATCCACTGATGCAGGCGGGATATTGGATTCCAAGCAGGCAAATAAAATGAGCGTATTAGCGTATTATACGTATACGGCCGGAGCGAGCTAGCTAGCTTGCCGGCCGCGGAGCGGCGCTGTTGATCGGGCCTTAGCCTTCTGATACTAGTATACTGGTATCTGGGACTGAAAATAGAGGGTTTTAATGATTTATTTATTGATTTTGATTTTTGCGTGAGAAATTCAGAGATGAGCGTGACAGCGTGAGAACTGACCAAAATGCGTAAGTCTCACGCTCAATGCGTGAGACTTGCCGTGTCTGCGTATCTCTAGCACCAGCAAATAATATATTTGTGTGTTATTTGTACAAAATAAACCTTGTATTCCCAAAGTCCGGAAGGCTCAAATATGTGTTTTCTTTGACTTATTCAGGAATGTCTTAGCCGTCTTTACAGCATTCCGAGCTTCTTCTCGTTAGCGTGAGGGTGTAGTGAGGGGATGTTGTAGTGTGCTTCAATTCGCACTTGAAGGCAACCCTCTGGAACTCATATGAGATAAATTGGGGGTCACTATGAGTTACCAACTCATCCGGAATGCCATATCTTGCAAAAAGATCATTTAGCTTGTGGATCGCAAATATTGAAGTAGTCTGGCTCAGATTGTCTATCTCAAGCAAATTTGTTAGAAATAGCCAAGGTTACATGGTAGCAGGTGCGTCACCTACGGAGAATAGCGCCTATGGCGAGCACTGAAATTGCGCCCCTGTCCAAACATCTGACACCCATCTTTTAGATAGCTTTACTATAATATACAGGGACGTAGCCAGCTAAACAGTGTGTGTCTGTTGGGGGGGGGGGGTTCTTGGCGCTAGAGCTGTGGACTTTCATAGGATGTGGCAGCAACATAGGATGTGGCAGCAAAGCCGCCCGCGCTAACGCGGCTAAACACGAAGCACCTAAGGGGGTGTCTGGGGGTCCTCCCCTAGACATTTTTTTAAAATGTAATGGCTCCAGGTGCGATTTCCCAGCACTTTGAAATAGTATTTTTGGACATGAACTAATGGTTTTTGAGTAACTTTTCGCCACATAACTGACTTATGGACTCGATTTGTCGAGAAAAATTTGTTTAAATCCTCAAATCTCAATTTAGCTGTCATTGATTTGTAAAATGATTTAAACTAATTTAGTGACGGTCACATTGACCCGGTTTAAACGGTTAATTTTAGGGAAATAAATAAAAACATTACACAGTGCTTAATTAATTATCTCTCACTTTATTCTCACAATACTGCAGGAATCATACATAGACGTGTACTGAATATTTATCCTGTAATTAATGAGTCTTACATTTCTGGGAACTAGTTTTTATTGTGGTTAGAAGCGTAGACAAATACAGATGTTCCAGAACTTTTTTTCTTTTGTACTAATCTTACAGTGTGAAAACTCTGACACTCATATTGTGCGGAGTCTCGTAATCGGACCATTTCGAGATTGAATGTTACATTGTAACAGCGTGCCCGACACAGGCCTCGTGTTGTTTGTTCGTAACTGTCTGCGATCTGTTGACCTTTGCTTTAATTATGCAGAATTTGTCATCCGAACTGGACTTGTGTACGTGCATGTTTGTGTGACTGTCCACTCACTAAAATAATAATATGGCTACTGCACTGTGAATGAATGTGTGTTGCACAATGCTGCGAAGCAATCGATAATGAGGATCGACGAAACTTTTCATTGTTGCTAATTTTGTTAATTTGTCTTGACCACAACTGCCTTGTCGGACTTTAATAGAAACTGCTCAGTGGCGCCCCCTTCAAGTGGTGCCCAGGGCACGTGCCATACCTGCCATACCTTAGTTACGCCACTGCATGGTAGCCCTCAGAAGCTAGCATTAAGAGATCTCTGTTATATTTGCCCACGGCTTGGTTCGTGCATCATGGGAATGCCTGCATGAGTACGTTTTGCTGTAAGTGCCCATTGACTGGCACACATGCTGCATTGCATCACATTTCTTGACGTAATATTTCACCTCTACATTAATTCCTGGCCAGAATAAGTTTCACGCTCTCTCCTCAGACGGCTACTTTCACCCAGGTGTGATGAGTGATTGCGATCAAGCATGTCCCTTCTCATAGCCTTGGGTATCCCAACTCTCTCACCAATAGAAATGAGCTCATAAGCAGTGCTGACCGCATTTCTGTAGTGAAAGTATATTGTAACACACTGAGATAGTTGTTACGGTTTCTCTTGCAATCCTTAAAGATTCTCGTCCTCGTGGTATGCATTGGTTAAACTTTTCTTTCGGCGGTTCTTCACTGGGTAGATGACTGAGCAAGCTCATTTGTTCTGTCTTCGGTTCTTTCTTGTCTCTCCCCGTACCTGGAAAATACGCACGACTCAATATGTTTGCAGTGTACATTTTACTTCCTGGACGATATAATCCGTACAGACTGCAAATTTGATACCACATCAAACTCGTCTGTGCCTGGCGCGCGTCAAATTTTTGCAGTGTGTACACGCTCCCTGCTCCAAATACGCGCTGGCCCGCACCAATTTGGCCCAGCAAATGAAGGAGGGTCAAGCCCGGGAGAACTTTGCCCGTACCAAGTTAGCCCGCTTGTGTGTGTGTGTGTGTGTGTGCGTGCGTGTGTGTGTGTGTGTGTGCGTGCGTGCGTGCGCGTGTGCGTGTGTGTACGCAATGTGGGGCCAGGCGCGGGTCAGATTTCGCAATATGCCTGCGCAGCGCACATAAAAGTAAAGTAGCTGTCTGCGGGGTGACGTAACGAGCTGAAATGAGCATGCACAGTCAATCCGTGCCAATCTGTGGTACGCTTCAGACTTTTGTGTCTGTACGCTACGATTTGACGCGTGCTATGCGCGCGCCAGGCCTGGACTAGTTTAATGTGGGATAAAAATTTTGCAGTCTGTACGGGGTAATAGACTATGTGCGCATCATTTGTTTACAGTCGAATAATCGGCGGCTTGTCATAACACTGGACTTGGAAGTTCCTTATGTGTATTGTTGGAATATTTACAAACAACATTTGGCAGCAAGTATAGCTCATCGGTTTGAGCAGACATTATCTCAGTATCTGTCGGAACTCTGATTGCATATGCGTTTGGCTGACCTTACTGCATAATCGTCAAAGTCAAACTTTCTTGTCGTCAAAGTAGGCCTACCGTAGCATCGGCTTTCCTGTCACCATCTCTTCGATGCGTTTTACTGCTTGTTCGTAGACAACTCGTGAGTTGATAGAGAGGTTCACATATTCTATATCTGCTTCCTTTTCCATGTGTTCTTTGCAATGAATATATTCATGTGCAGAAATATGTTATATAACTTGAATTAGCGTAAGAGTGCATGATCCTGCTTAGTGGGAAGTCGAGTGGATAGATTCACTGTTTTACAACAATTGTTGCTACAATGTAAAAAACACATTTTGAGTTTTATTTTGATTCGCGAACGTTAAACAGTTCACCAAATATAATTGAAATAATGCCTTGTGCAATGTTTTCTTATAAATGTTTTCGAACTGTAAAACAGTACGGTATTTCCTGTGTGTGAGGCACATATAGTATGTCTCTATTTACATATATATATAATATCGATGAATTATTCACTTGCATATTAGAATGCTATAAGTTGAGTAATTACTTAGTTGGAGTAATTATGTTAGGAAGATGTAGTGAGCGTGGTTGCCAAGACTTACCGCATACTGGTTTAGCAACGTGCATTTAGATTGGGCAGCTGTGTGGATTCATACTAATAAGGGAAGCCGGCAGTCTAACAAGCACAAGTCTAGTATATGTCATTATATGTTATTGTATATGATTACTCTTGTATGATTATTGTCTTATTCTGTACTTGTTTTGATTAATAATTATTTATTTCATCTTCGAAGATGTAATTTATTAGTATACTGATGAAGACATAAACCTTGAGATTTTTAAATGTGCTATGTCCCTGAACATCATACAGGGCATATATATATATATATATATATATATATATATATATAGGCATACACACATGTTTCTCGCTTCCCCATATTTATCCATTTCTTTCGGATAGAGAGAAGAGTTGTCAGAGGGATTATTGAGGTCACAGTGTAATAGTAGTATATGCTATGTTTGTAACACCTAGGATGTGACGTTGCTTATCATCGTTACAGTAGCGTGATAGATGTGCTGAAAGTCTGCACGTACATCTAGTCGGTTTATTTGCGTTTGATGTAGATAGACGGAAAGTAGATAGCGGAATGAGTATTATAGAGGAAATGAAGGGCACGGAAAACGTGTCGTAGATGTATCGGTTATAAGAGTCCTGGAGATGTCAATTCACATTAGTAACTTTACATATACGGTATATTTCACAGGTTATTTTTGTTTATATGCATTACTTATTGATATATAACGTTGTTTGCCAGTATGCATTCGTATGTAGTTTCATTAGATAATTAAGAGTAAACATGTAAACAGGAAGTGATACAGAACTTGACAATTTCGATTGTATTTGAAAGACGAGTTTGTTTTCGTGGATAAATTCCATACAATTGAGAGACAAAAATGTAAAGTTGGATGCGTTGTCATCACATCAGGAGTCTATAAATATTGATAGACTCCTGGTCGTATTATATACTGGAAAGCAGCGGGAAAGCCGAAATCACCCGAATGAAATAAAATTACGGCGAAATAGTGACTTGTCTTGTTACGTAGTATCTATCTGTATAAGTTTAGTGCTTGATTGGTCGATAATTTAATAATGCGAAAATATCGGTCCTGTCAACTGCATTTAAAATTGATTGAATTACGTGTAAATAACATTTTATGTGTATAGAAGTGAAAAGAAGATAGATAACTTATAGATGGCAAAAGTGTGGAATATGTGATATAGTATATATATATATATATATAGAGAGAGAGAGAGAGAGAGGGAGATAGATAGACAGACAGACAGGCACGCACGCACGCACGCACACACACACACACACATACATTTGTTATTTTACTGATTGCTATAATATAATTTTATATATTTGAAACGATTATATTATGAAAACGATTTCAGAAAAATCTCATTTCTCCAACTTTTACCCTTAATTGTCCTATAATACGCATAATTATATATATATATATATGGAATTACAGACAATTCCTGGATACGGTTTTTGGAGAATAAGAGCATATGCGGCAGTGCAGTGTCAGTAGTGTTGGAGATCGGTCCAAATTTCATGATCGATCATCGGTTTTACAAAACGACCGATGATCGATTAATCATCGATCATGTTAGATTGCGGCAACGACGCGGTGACGCCGCGTCATCGTCGACACAACCGGTGTATTGCGAAGGAATATTGACATTATTGTATGTGTAGCTAGTATTTAATGGTAAGTAAATTAAGGATACTGTTAGGGTTACGGATGGGTAACACTCTAAAGGGCATTACAACATAACTGCTCATCAAATTCAATCAAACTCATATCCATTACATAAGAGAGATGTCTCTCTATGCTATCGATGAAATTTTTTTATAAAAAATTCATTGCTAATTAAGTGACGGCAAAAATTTTGAATTTATACAAAAAAAATTTATTTTTTATTTTTCAGAAAAAGCAGAGTTGGGACCTAAACTTTTAACCATAAGTTGTTCATAATATGAATAAAAAAAGTCCCTGAATTTTTTTTAAATGCTTTAATTTAGGAAATAAGTTAAAAAGATGTAGGACAATTTAGGATTAGGCTTGATTTTCAGGAAACAAAGTCGCTTAGTTCCTTGAAAATTTACACCGCACCGTGTTTACTATATATATGTGTATATATATATATATGTGTTTACTAGTATATGTGTAAATGTATGTACTTGTGTCAAATTTGGAAATAAAATAATAAAAAATAATAAAAAGTTCGAGTTGTACTCGGTCGTCCGATTTTCTACTCGATTAATCAACTCGGCAGCTCAAACGAGTAATGATCGACGAACTCGATTAATCGGAACACCACTAAGTGTCAATGTGCAGTTTCTAATCAATTACTAAAGCATAGTTAGGTGTGACCCCTCATAAGGCGTCCTACACTGAAAACGTACTGAGATTTTTCTCAATCATATATTCATTCTAATTTACAATGCGTTCATAGATATTGTCCCGACACTTAACAGTAATTCCACTGTAATAACAGTTAAAGTCCACTGTAACAGTAATGGACAACGTAGGTACGTGATGAACGTGGTCACGTAGGTGACAGGAAAGAACGCTAAATGTAGGATATATTAACGTCTAGTACACAAACACGCGGTAATCTGAACGCATAGATAAACATCACCGCACCTCGTAAGCGAAAATCCCACGTTTCGATATGGAGAATCTATTTATTATTTTTATATCTACTACCGACCGTGTGCACGCACGGTTGTAAGGTCAACACGGCGACGATTCAAAGTGCAGTGGTATGCAGAAACGTCCAAGTCATGTCCTTCTGTTGCCAAGTAGCTTCAAGTCAACGGCACGATGGTCGCATCTTCAAGCCAAGATGCAAATGAGGAACGCGCGAATCGCAGTAAGTTCAGTTAAATTGCTCACTCACGCACGGACGTACGTACGGATGAATGTGGAATAGCGGAGATCTGTTTTGCACGTGCGTATGTCTGCCTTAAATAAATAATATTTTGCTAGGAATTTACGGTATAAGTAAAGTTAGTTTAAAGTAAAGACTAACGTACGTTATAAGTATCACATACTGGTAGCTTGACACGGACAATCTTTATATCGTTAATCATATCATTATTGTCTCAATTCCCAACCGAATAAAGACTAGAATCTGGAAGCGAGTTTAAAGCTCTTCTATACCCTCCTGCCTTTCAGTTCACTACCTCAGGCTTCCTTATCATGTAACATAGATCCCAGCAATAAGAGGTTACATGCATACACAAAGAAATACACGCACGCAGAGAGAGAGAGAAAGAGAGAGAGAATGAGAGAGAGAGAGAGAGAGAGAGAGAGAAAAAAAGAGAGAGACGGACGGACGGACAGACAGATGGATGCATGGATGCATGGATGGATGGGTGGATAGATGAATGGGTGGGTGGATGGATGGATGGATGGATGTATGAACGGACGGACGGATGGATGGATGGATGGATCGATATACGGACGGATAGACGAACGGACGGACAGACGAATGTATGGAGAAATGGATAGATGCATGTATGGAAAAGAGTTATAACATCGGGAGTACAAAAAAACAAAATATGTAATTAATGATAACCTATGAGACTAATGAGACTATAAAGTATAGAACCATAATAGAGGGGTTGGGCGGCCGGGTGGCGCAGACATCCCGTTGCCGGAATAGACCGTTTGCCAATCAGCGTTACCCAATTAAGTTTGAGCTAGAAAAATTAATTTATGAGTTTAATATCGTAATGATTATTAATAATTTACTTATATTTTTTGTTATTATAATTAAGTGCAATAATTATAAACATTTGTATTGCTGTATTGTAGTTATTATATGCCTATGTATGTGCTGTATTGTGTTACAAAGCTGTAAGCCTATGCATATGCAAAGTTGTAGGCGTATTATTTTACTATATGGATTATCGAGTAATACTAAATATCATTTAAAATAAGTGATGTAATGCGTTTTTTCAAATTTTCAGTGAAAGCCAAGGATTCAATTTGTTTCGATACTGCGCCTGTGGTGAAGGTTTGATTGTTCGCCATTCAGTTTATCACGTACCAGTTGATTATTATTACCGGATTTTTGCACTTTTTTTTCATAATACACTGCAATAATAATAATATTAATTATTTTTTTATCACTAGTCTCATTACCATTGGTACTTTTATCTGTTAGATTAATTGTTGTACCTAGGAATTCGCTCAGGATGCGGCCCTGTAAATTCTTTTCGATCAGTACGTTAGCTTCATACATACCGTTAACTGTAACCATTAAGTTAACCGTTGTTTTGACGCGTTGTTTACTTCGTAGACATTTCGTGTAATTTTACGCACTCGACTAGTAGACTACTCCTTGGTTATTGCAGCCACCCTATCCGAAACGTGTAATCTTCATTCTCAGCAATGAATTTTGCGAGAGATTCAGCTATTATGGAATGCGCAGTGAGTCTATGGGTTTCCTGCTTTCTATAATAAGTACAAAAACTATAGTGATTTTATAATTTTAATTAAAAAAAAAAGAATCGCTATTTTTGCGCTAGCGACATTTGGAAACTTGGTAGAAAACGTGCGAGAGAGTTAATACGCGATAAGAGTGAGAGGTAGACGAGTGCGAGTGAGTGAGTGAGCGGTGAGTGAGGGGACGTGAGAGAGAGAGAGAGAGAGAGAGAGAAGAGAGAGAGAGAGAGGAGAGAGAGAGAGAGAGGAAAGCGCGCAGGGCGGTGCGGGGAAAGAGGGCCTGCTTGCAACTGCCTCGATTTTCCCGACATATTATTACTCTCTATATACGCTATTTGTTTATATGTTGATAATTATTATTTTTTTCTTAGCCTGTTCTCGGTGCTGTTCTTCACAAACAACCTCCAACTTCGGAGGGAAAACAACCATCCACAGCTATTTAACCACGCATTTTGTTGGCGTTTATGTTATTTCACGCCCATCATTGGAGCCACGCTTCTAGCCGCATGGCCTGCTGGCAAAATTCTGCGTAGGTCTGACATTCATAAGTTTACGCGCATAGTTTACATTTCATAATAATGGAGCAAGTATCTGAGCGCGAATGTGCATCGTAAAAAGGAGAGCAACGACAGAAGGCAGAGCAGAGGGGCCGAGAGATTGAGAGAAAGAGAGCAGAAAAACATAGAGAACGAGATGGAGAGCAGCGGAAGAGAGTGTGAGCGGAGAGGGGAGAGAAGGCAGACAGTCAGAAAGGGCGAGAGCGAGGAAAGAGAGAGAACTGAGAGAGAGAGATGAGAGAGCAGAGAGAGAGAGAAAAAGATGAGAGAGAAGAAGAGAGAGAGAGAGAGAGAGAGAGAGAAAGAGAGAGAGAGAGAGAGGAGAGAGAGAGAGAGAGAGAGAGAGAGAGAGAGGAAGAGAGACAGAGCGGGGTCAGATCATTATAGTTCCTGTCTATACATAATTATTGTATACTCTAATCCACTCCGATTTCTAGGACAATATTCTACCTATCAGTGGTATATATCATTGGATTAACACTACTAACTCTCATGGCTATACCACCGATTGGAAACGACAATGCGTAAGTTCATGTATAGAAAATTGGGCGAATTATTGTTTCTTGGTACCTTCATGAGTGTTGAAAATAAATATCGGATGATACCACAAGAAACTAGCCATCTATAATATTATGTAAACACACGCGCGCGCACGCACACGCGCACGCATCACAGGTCCACCATACACGGCGCACGCGCGCGCAAACCACACACACAAACACACCACACACACAACACCAACAACACACATACAACGACACACACACACACACACACACACACACACACACACAACACAGCACACACAGCACACACACACGACCACACACACACATCACTATACATATATATGTATATATATATTTAAATATTTTTTACTGATATTTATGATATTTATGATATATTTATTTATATTTATTTATTTATTTTAATTTTTATTTATTGTTTATATGTTCTGTGTTTATTATAGCATGGACAGCATTCGGAAGCATTGTTCAGACGATAC